TCGTGATTTTGAAATCAAATTAATCAAATAAAAGGCTCACATAATACAAAATCAATGAGGGTTTTGGTTTCCCTAGTCAACATTAATTAACAAATTGAAAAGCGATTTTAGATCACAAATACATACTAACTCTCTGATACTATATGTTGAAATTATAGGATATCAATATGTATACAAATTTAGGACGTTAAAATAATATAATTAAATAGAAAGCATACCTAATAATGCAATTGAAGAAGTTATTGAGTTTATAGAATCACCCTGTTAAGGATTTACAGGTACTTTGTCTTCATTAACTATTTTAGAATATTACTCTTGATAGGTAGTTATCAAATTTAAAAATAAAAAAGTTGAGTCCTCTCTACTTCCCCCCTCTCTCTATCTCTCATTTCTTTCTCTTTTCATCTTATCTCTCCCATATCATTCCTTTCTCTCTGTTCATTCTATACATTTAGTTTACTATTTTACCCTTTAAAGGAGATATGAAGAGGTTCCAGTAGTCTATTTTTAATTTTTTGATTGGTATGGAGGCAATTTGGTCTTTTAAGGCAATGGAGTTAATGTATTTCTAAATTGACCTTTTTATGCTTCAAATATAATGGCTCCTTACAATTTTTTGTAATCTGGTAATAAGAATCCTTAGTCTTCCTATTTCTCTTTAATATTGAATAGGATATTTTGGAATGGCATGTCTATGTGAGTGGAGAAGAATTTTTTTTAACTTCGGGAGCCAATTTTATATAAGTGACAAACGGCATATCTTTTGTTAGAACAAGAAACTTTTTATGATTTTGGAAGACAATTTTGTAAGTGATAAATGATATACGTTTATAGTACAAAAAAGTTATCTTTATATATATCACTACCTATAATTTTATTGAATGTTCCCTATATTCCTATACTTTAATAGGTTTTTTTCACATGCAAGATCTCGATTCACTTCTCATCATTGCAAAGCTCTAATCCTTTGCTATTCTTTGTTTTTTTTTTCCTGTTCTTCTTCTTGGTTTGCTTTTAAAAAAAAAAAAATAAGGAAAGTGATTGCTTATAGCTAGGTGGACCATATACATTATTTCTAAAACTGAATTTTGTGTAGATCGTTGATTTTGGCATTTTTAGAATACCACTCATTTTCACTTGGCTGCCAGAAAACATGACTTTAACAATATGATTTAGAATTCTATGTGGGTTCCTTTTCATGGTATACAAGGTCTCATATTTTCTTCTTTTTTTTCGCTTTTTTATTTTGTTATATATAATCTTAAAAAATAAATATTTTATTTAGATATCAAAGGGACAACTGGTAAATTGCTTGATGATATTATCATTAACCAATGCAACTTATCAAAAGCAAAATATCGTTTTAATATTCTATTATTTAATTTTAATAATAATTTTTTAACTATAAATTCTTTTATTTTTCCTTTTTAGAATCTAAATACATCCTAATAACCTGCAAAGTGGGTTGGGAAATACTAGTAATATAGTGTGAAGAGGGACCCAATCATTCATTTGTAGTAACCCTAATAGTGCACCCATCAAAGTTCTATTGAACTTGGACCTACACCCACCGTCCCACATCAAATTCTAAATGAGATGCTTTAAACTTAAAGTCCACACTAATTGATCACGATATTTAGACTTTACACACTCTTCTCATTTTCAATCAATTTGCAAACCTGTTTTAACTCAACCAAAATTATCAATTAAGAACAATCCACATTGGAAAATATTTCTAATACTTACATGACGAGCCCAAAATAAGAGCGTTTTTTTTGTAGTTGAGGTAAATTTCTTATTTATCAATTAAGAGCAATCCACAGTGGAAAATTTCTAATACTTACATGACGAGCCCACAAATAATACTTACATTAAAAGATATTTTTTTATTGATGATGAAACTAATGTCAGTTTTTGTAATTTTTAATATCAATTAATGATAAAAAGTATATCAACTACATCTTAATAGGTTAGAAAAATCCTATATTTAAAAGGCTAAATATCAATTTTGATCCTTTAACTTTAAGATTTTGCATAATTTTCGTTTCTCAACTTTTTAATGTATTTTTTAGTCTCTTAACTATAAAAAAATGTACTTGTTTGATCCTTCTATCAATTAATCTATTAAGTATATTTGAAGTTGCAAAGTTTTAGTCTTTTAATTTCTAATATATATAAATTTTTCATCTTTTAATTTCAAATTAAAGGATTAAAAATATATATATTTAGACAAACTTAACAAACAACTAACAAAATAATTAAAAAATACATTTTTTATAGTTAAGAATAAAAAAATGCATAAAAAGATTAAAAGACAAAAATTATACAAAAATTTAAAGTTAAGGGACCCAAATTAACATCTAACCTTAAATCTAACTAACCAAACCCCATTAATTGTTAGTCATAAAAAAAAATACATTTAGTGACAGGCATGCAATGACATGGCCATGTTCTCATCATTCAAACAATCTGCCCATCAGATAAGATTTGTCACTGCTGAATTCCCTCTCAAACAAGGCATTGCATAACTCATTCTTTGATTTTAGAGGAAGTTTCGGGTAGTACTACACTAGGAGCTTTATGTGGGGCACAAACCCATCATATCCAGCCAAGAGTACTTGTACACAGGACACCTTCTTTTAGTTGTGGACCTTATCCCCTATTCCTTTTCCTGGATGCCACCACAAAATTTGTGAATGTTCAAAAAGAATGGAATTGTGGGTGGGGCTTAACAATTATGCTACGTCTCTTTCAAAATATTTGTGCCATTTTCCTTCAGGCACTCTGCTATATAATACTGCCAAAATCATACCAATCCGCAGGACAACCACCATGTGCGTTTCTCAAGATGTAATGGTTTTAATTTGAAACTCCTTATCTCTCTAGTTTATCCAGTCCTTTCGTCCAGGCTTATAGGCTTCCCAGAAAAAAACATTTGAGTTAACTAGAGATTGGCCTCAGCAACAATAAATCATTCAATATCTAAGACTAACAATAGTTATATGACTTCAGATGAATATATGCATATTGATTCATACATATGGTAGAATTAAAAGACACAACAAAACTATTGCTACTAATGTTGTCAACAAATATGATTAATGAACTTTATCAACCATTTTTGTCCTTATAAATTCTTTTATTGATGTTTTAATGGAAAATAATTGATACACATTCGGTATAACATATTTTCTAACATTCATTTTAGTTCAACTATTAAAATATAATATAAATATAATTAATTTAATTGATTTTTATATTTTATATGTATTACTGTATTTTTAAATTTATTTATATTTAATTATATATTAAAAATAATATTTTTTTAATAAATATACTATACGATATGTTATATCAAAATATGTATCAATCATTGTCTTTTTTTTAATTGGTGCAAACAATTTAAATCAGCTATACCCACAACAAAGGTAAAATACTTAATTGATGCCTATGGACAGAGTAGTTTATTGGTGCCATAGTCGGGCAAAAGTCTGAAATGTGAATATACAGGAAATTAAGGAAAGAACAAGCTGGGCTTGGCCATGGAGATTGCTTTTTTTCTTGTTGGGAAGGGGATGTTGCCTACGTTATAATCGTAACATTTATGATTAACAACATCTGCCTACTCTTTTCTTCGGCTGTTACATCTCTCCATATCTATTATTAATATAAGGGTTTGTCTTATTTATACCTTAAAAATACAAGTTAAAAATATCTTAAATACATTTTTTATGCATTACATTTACATTAAAAAATAAAAAAATTGATATTAATTTTAACACTCATGTCTTGTAAATATTTTTTAAGTAGTTAATTGTTAAATTAATATTAATTTTTGTTTTTTAATATATATTAATGATAAAACATATAATTAATACACTCATAGTCTATCTGATAAAAAAAAACATTTTTAACATGTACTTTAAAACCATACGATAAAAAAACTCTTAATAAAAGAACATGGGGATCATACATCACTCAATAAACGACGATTTTGGTTCGGGTACCTTTTAAATGCTCTGCTCTATGATTGGGCGCATGTCTTCACTTATCTGGCTTACTTTCTGAAATTACTTTTTAATGTTGTGGAAGAATTTTAGAAGTTAGAATATTTGAAAAAGTATATGATGTAGAAGATGAAACCGGCCAAAACAAGATTTTGTTAGAAGTCATTAATTTGACACTCGAATAGTTCGTTAAATGGGAGTACATTCTTAGATATATAATTTCTATGATAGTTCCAAAATATATATGTGAATAAAACTCTGTTTAAGTCTATCTTACACTAGTTTATTTAAAAAATTACTTATATTGGAGTTGAAAATAAGGGTATTTAACTGTTTGATAAACCTTTTTATAGAACCATGGTGATGGAAAAAAGATATTCGAAAAAACTTAGTGAAAAAAAAAAATTCAAAAACAAAGGCTCAAGAAAGGAACAACACAAGTAAACAGACCCCACAAGTTTAAAGATGAAATATTTAACTACAAATAACATTTAAAACAAATAAAAAGAAATTATCTTTTTATACATTTAATTACGTATTGGGTGGTGCTATTGGGATAATTTTTTTATTTTATATTTTTATACCATTTTCACATGTTATTAAATAAGTTGATGCATTCAATATCATGAATCCCACATAAATTAAAAAATTAATCATTTTATTAACACGTCAAGTTGTAAAAAAAAAATGATTGTTTCAATAACATTTCCCTTGCGCATTATTATACAATAAGAATAATTGTTTTATAAGTGGCTTTTTATTTAATTTTAAATTTCAATTAAAAATTTTTAACATTAAAATATATGAAGACTTAAATTCATAATTATTGAGCGGTACACTACTCGACACAAACAAAAAGAAACAAACAAAAAGAAACCATTTTACTAAAATTACCATGACAAGAAATTCTAAAACCTCGATTGCACGTATGCATTTCTTGATGTCTAACTATCCCCATAAAAGTAATCCCCTGCTCTCTTTTCATAAGATACCAAACAGTCAGAAAGTCTTATAACGCTTTAGTTTCTTCACAAACTAAAACAGGGGACAATATCACATAACCCTTAAAGGAAACAAAAACTGACCAAATGCGGCCATTTCAACCTCTTCTCCGGAATTCTCCGCCCCTCTCTTCCGACGAACTTCAGTTCTCCTCCACTGCCACACCCACATGCAATCCCCAAACCTGCAGGTGGCGGCCTTACTCCAATTCAAACAACTTCGAATCTAACGCGGCCATAATCCTAATTATTCTGTTTTGTGCTCTGATTTGTGCTTTGTCACTCAACGCTGCCATCCGCTGCTTCCTCCGTGGGGGTCAGCCGAGCCGGCGCAGGGGAGAGAGCCTTCCCCGGACACAACAGGAAGTGATACTTCAGCAGAGGAAGCCTGGCAGGGAAGGGGCTGCGGCCGCCTTGGTGGTGGCGCCCACGGTGGCGTACATGGCGGGGATGAAGTTGGCCGGAGCGGAGGCAGAATGCACCATTTGCTTAGCGGAGTTTGTGGAGGGAGAGGGAATTCAGGTACTTGGAAGGTGTAAGCATGGATTTCATGAACAATGCATCCAGCGGTGGCTTAATTCTCACTCATCTTGTCCCACTTGCCGCTCTAGCTGTCTCTCTTCATCCCCGTCATCATCATTAGAATCTCCTCACCATTGCATTGACCGGAGTTCACAGCAAGCGGTGGGTGAACGGCAGGATCCGTAGTACCCTGCTTGCTAAATCAATTCAGCGTGTATGAAAGTTTTCTTCTGTTGTTTCATTTTCTTCTTTTCCCCCAATGATAAGAATCTCTATCAACTATTCAAAACCTCTGGTTCTACCATCTTCCATATCTTTATCCCACTTAGAAAAATAATAAGGAAATTCATAAGTACATAAAAAACAAAAAATACAAAAAAGGATAAGGAAATTTGTTGATAATAATTTAATTACTTCATATTTAAACCAGACAATAATACATTAATATAAAATATGAACAAAAATTTTAAAAAAATAATTTCAAATATATAGTTCTTGTTTTTATATTTAACCAATTAAGTATATAGAGCTTCTTACTAAGTAGTCTTATCTTATTAAAAAGGTTTTTCAATATTATGATTTATTTGTTATATAAAAATATTACTTAAAAACGCACATAAAAAGTGTAAAAAG